ATATATATATATATATATATATATATATATATATATATATATATATATATATATATATATATATATATATATATATATATAGAAACAGGTTATTGCGCAGACTATCAAATATTAATTGCACATTATACATTGCTGAGTTATTGCGGTTGTAGTGTTGCATTGTGGATACTGGTTGCAGCAGGGATGAATGACCTGTGATAGCGCTCCTTTTTACCAACAAGGTGTAAAAGTCTTTCACTGAAGGAGCTGCTCAGCTCCTCTACAGTCTGGTGCAGATGGTGAGAGGTGTTGTCCATGATGGATGTAAGCTTGGTCCAGAGTGCAGCCTTGGACAGAAACGGTGTTTCTTACCAGGTTGTGCAGTCTCTTTCTGTCCCCTCTACGCTGCCAGGGGCCCAGCAGACGACAGAGTAGAAGACGGCTGATGCTACCTCAGAGTCTTAGAAGGTTTTAAGCAGGGGCCTGCTTGATGTATTTCAGTTTGCTCATTGTCAAACGAGCTGACGGTACAGATATATGATACCATGATGACAGAGCTAACCGCAGAACAAGGGCTGCCTATGATTGGCTGCTTTTAAGGAAATGTTTTCACATAATTAGCCGACCACTCTGAACCCTCACACAGCATTAGAATGGAGTTACCAGATGGTTAATCCAACCTAAATATGGCAAATCAAGGGTAAATACGTAATGTCAGTGTGACATAGCCTTACGCAGATAGCAGAGCACTGACCGTCCCACAGTTTTGGTCCTAATAGTCGTGCTCTATTTAGAACAAGACTTCATCAAATGTATCTTTCAATCTTTTTCTTTACATGAATTTTATAAAATGCATATGTCAAAACTCACTGTTTGAGAAATATGTGAAATTTGAAATCAACCGCTTCTTTCCTCTGTGTCTCCCAGCAGCGAGCTGAGTGACCGACAGGACAAACGAGACATGGGGAAGCAGAACAGCAAGCTGCGTCCTGAGGTGATGCAAGACCTGCTGGAGAGCACCGACTTCACTGAGCATGAGATCCAGGAGTGGTATAAGGGCTTTCTGAGGGACTGCCCCAGCGGGAACCTCTCCATGGAGGAGTTCAAGAAGATTTACGGCAACTTCTTTCCATACGGAGATGCTTCCAAGTTTGCTGAGCACGTCTTTCGCACTTTCGATGCTAATGGTGATGGGACAATAGATTTTAGGGAGTTTATAATCGCTTTAAGTGTGACATCACGTGGCAAGCTGGAGCAGAAGCTGAAATGGGCCTTCAGTATGTACGACCTGGACGGGAATGGGTACATCAGTAAATCTGAGATGCTGGAGATTGTACAGGTCAGTCTCTCTGTGGAAAACAACACACACACACATACACACACACACATAGCATTGTGAACCAGTTTATAATGTTTAGGGGACACATACACACACCCACACACAGCGTTGTAGACAGAAAATTTTTATAGGGGTGGCCAGGCAGGGACTAATCCACAGAATGGTGTCCGAAAGCAGACAGGCTCCAGATCCTCACAGACATTCTACACTTTTCCAACAGGAAAATGAACAAGCACATCATCCGTATTTTCCAAATAAAGACTAGCTAGATTTTATGAAAGCCTTTACTAAAAAATAAATGTGTTAATTTACAAATCCATGTTGTCTAAATACAGGGTATAGTAAACGATCAGCTTTAAGTTGTGGGGGTAGCATAAATCTATTGTAATTTCTTGCCTGCATTTCTGGGATAAAATGTCCACTATACTTTAATCCATAATTATTAGTGCTGTCAGACGATTGAAATATTTAATCACGATTAATCACATTAATGTCATAGTTAACTTGCAATTAATCGCACATTTTTATCTCTTCTAAATGTCCCTTGATTTCTTTGTCACATTATTTTTTCTCATTTTAATGATCTTATGAATATGGAAAGGTGGATTGGGTTGCTTTATGCAAATGTTTTTTATTGAAAACAACATTGGCATACTGTAGTGTTCAATTTCACTCTAACATTTTCACTTGGAACAGTAATCTCTCTCACAATGTAATACACTGTCCATTAGTGAAAGGGTGAAAAGAATAGAAACAGCCCCTTCAACAGCCCTTTTCAAAGGATCAAAATAGGGCGATACAAAATTAAATTACAAAGTGCACATGTAATGTAAACTAGGACTCAGCCTATAGTGCAGTTAAACCATGGCTTAATATTTTTCTCAAGTTTGCTTTGAACATAGCAGTCAGGCTACTACTCTTTATTTGCCAGAACCCAGCCTCTTATTTCATAAAGAAAGAACAGTAACGGTTACCAATAAAAGGTAAGGCTATTACTACTTTGCTTTGAGCCAGTTACTCAAACAGACAAGCCTGTTGACATTTTCAGGCAACAAGGAAGCTCGCTTTTTTTGCACAACATGCCCAGACAGTGAAAACAACCTTTCAGAGGGTACTGATGTAGCTGGTGTTGCCAAGTACTTGCATGCAAGGCGGGCCATTGCACTGTGTGCCCCTTCATGTGTAGACCACCATTCCTGGGGACA